TGGATCCTTTTAAGGATTGTCATAAAGAAACTGTTTAATAAATTTGTATGTTTGTATTAAGATAATAAAATAATTTTTACATTTACTATTATTTCACAAGAGCAGTTTATTTTGACTGATTGTATGACATTTAATAACTAACTTCAGCCCGTGACTAAAAACATGTTGCTAACTTCAGCCCAGGACTAAAACGCCATAAGGTCGCGCTTGTCAATGTGTATTTGAAAGACCACTCATGAAAACTTGTACGATAATGTAGTACGGTAATTTCGTATTAGCAGTGGCATTATTTAGAAATGTATTTCTTATTAATTATAGAAAATCCGTTTTTAAAAATTACCTTTTAAATATTATAAATAATAAATTTTTAAAATATTTTTCCGTGGTACTGATACTCCCAAACCAACCAAACATATGTTATTTTTTATCTAAATATTTATTTACCTTAAAATTTATGAAATAAAGATCAAATAATGTTAATTACATATACAAACAAAGTTAAGCTACAAGATATGGGATTAAAGTAGTCAGCAAATGTGTAACATCAGCGCGTTACCAATGTTTATGACAAGTTTATTAGTGCTGTGTTAATTTTGGTTAATATATGACTTTGTAATATTTTTATACATCGAAAAATGATCGTTATTGCATGTAAGTATTAACCTAATTTTATAAAAAACTTACTTATTTTACTCACCTTAAATTATGTTGACGGCTAAATAATATTTATTGTATTGTTTTCATGGTATGTAATATACGAGTATATAAGAGCACAGTTAATCCAAACTCGATGTTAGGTATCAATGAAAATCTCATTATTAGATATATCTTTGTTTTCTTATTTTTACCCAGTAAATTGTTTAATGGCTCAAAAGGGTCCGTAAGCAAACTTTGTTATAACTTTATTATTAGCTCATTAGGAACTCTTCCTTTAAATAAATAAAATGCCCATTTATTTAGATTTCCAAATAAACTAAGCAACAAATATAACCAATGTTTAAATTTTTTTGACACATATTTTTTCGTAAGGAATTATAATACATATTGTGTACAGTATAATATATTTTTTCTACTCCCACCTTTAAAACGCCCTTTATCGTACATGTTTCCATGACACTAAGTGACCTTTTAAATACACATTGACAAGTTATGGCTTTACGGCGCTTTAGTCACGGGCTAAAGTTAGCAACAGGTTTTTAGTCACGGGCTGAAGTTAGTTTTAAGTTAGTTGACAGTTGTCAAATGTCATACAATCCTTAAAATAAAGTGCCTTTCTTGTAAAATAATACTAAACGTGAAAATTATTTTATTATCTCAATACAAAAATACAAAAGTATTAAATAGTTTCTCAACGCCAATATTAATATTGTTACAATGTTCATATAAACTTTTCAAATTTGAAAAGTTTATATGAACATTGTACTGAGCTTATAATTTTGCCGGCAGTAAACTATAACTTAAATTCGGGCACGGACTCTGCTGTAAAGTCCTCATAAAACATTTTATTTACTTTCACTGTGAAAAACTGTCAATTTTCAATATACATTTCGATTTATAACCTTTATAATTGTGTTTATAAAATGTAAAAATGTGACATTTAACAGTTTACCCTGTTGTTTCATAGATGGCGCTCTATACAAATTTTTGATTTAAATCATTTTAAGATAATAATAAGTATTTGTCGTAGAAAAAGTATAGTATGCACCTCGTTTATAAACTTTTCTATACACTCATTAATTTAAGAACTCGCTTGCAAGCTCGCTTGTGCCTAAATTAAATTCGTGTATAAAATGGCGTTTATCAAACTTGATACATAATATACTATTCTAAGTAATTTATAAAACAAATAGCATGACATTTAAGTAATAAAAAAAATAATAATTCTAAGTTAAACTACGTCAAGTGGGACCAGGAAATTTTACAAAATCACCGATTTTGAAAAAAAAATACATTATTGTATAGAAGGCAAGACGCATATGTCAGTCACAGTAAAAATATTTTTTTGAAATTCTGTTTTTTGTTAATGTTATTAAAGTTTCTAGTTTAATTAATGTTTAGAACACGTTAAAATTGAAAAATTGTTTTCTCTATAACCATGGTGCACTGTGTGTAACTAAATAAAATTGTACACACTTAAGTGTGTACAGAATTCTGTAGTAATGTTTATGCTATTCAATGACAATTTAATTGAGGTGTATAAAAATATGTGCATACATGTTTTTAAACAATTGATATTTATAATGTGTTCTTCACGCTGACAAAAAATTATATGCGGCAAACGTTCCCGTTTAATAAAATGTACTTAAAAGTTTATCTTTTATTTTCATTTTGTCATTTAGGCAGACTTTGACAGTTCTATTGTTACTGCTGATGGTTCCAACTGAATATATTTGTGAAGTTTTTATATATTAAAATGGTTCCGCCGAATAAGTGCAGTCACCCTTTTGGTAAAAAGGTCACAATTGTATTCTTATACATTGGTCAATACTTTTGTAAAACACAATGTACAATATTTCGTATATTAGCACAAATGTATGAAATTTATTTATTTTATTATCCGAGCCCAAGGTAAGTTCACTCATGATTTGTATAACCCTGTTCCATAATAATTATTGAGTTTATCTTTAATCAGTCAATAATTTAAACGTTATTGTTGTCAACACTCGTTACTTAAGGAGCTTACAAATGATTTGGACCAATCAAATTAGGCAAAAAACCCATTTCTTACTTTGGACCAATAAAAAAATTCGACTACTGTCAGAAATATTTAACCATAGATTAATTGTACGTTTTATAAATCATTTAACAAATAAAATTGTGCTACGCGTCTGCCTTCGAACATTGAACTTACATTAATTTTTAACCCAAAGCACTGATTAAAAAGAAGAAAGTAATAACATTTCTAATTGCCAGGAAGATCGTAATAGTGATCCAAATTTTAAATATGATAACGTTGGTTATTCTTTGAAATAAGAAAAAGTGAATTATATTTTACAAGAAATTAATGAACTCACTTTAAAAAAAAACTTTTTTCAAAAGTATGCAATAAAAGAGATAATTTCAGAAATCATTATTAAAAATAAGAAATATAGAAAATAAAAAACATTTCAAATTCTGCTTTTGTTAAGAATATTCGAGCTGCTTTGAGCGAACAAAATTCTCTACAAGAGAGAATTCAAATTTTGACTACCATATGTAAGTGTGTATTCGAGACGTGAGACGTCTGTGTATGGCCAGCTATTTCTAAAAACTGCCCATTCACATGTGTCAATAATAATAATAATAATAATAATAATAATAATAATAATAATAATAATAATAATAATAATAATAATAATTTATTTGCCCAACAGAACAATACATTCCAATAATAGGACAAAATTATATAATTATATGCAAATAGAGAACCTTAGGTTTCAAATATATCTTTAGCAATAGCTAATAAATAATTTAAGCTATTAAAAAACAAATCACATGAATGGCTTATTAAATTGTAATTGTTAGTTATAACATGAGCTGGTGAGTAAGCTAACATTGCAGTACGAGCATACATACAAAATACATATGTATATAAGTGACATTCACTTTAACGGCCGTCGCGACGCGTCGCTATGAAAATGACCGCGAAATGTTACTTCGCGTACGGTTGCCCAAAAAACAATTAAAATAACATGGAATTAACATATTCAACATTTAGCTGTGCAATTGAAACTTTGCGATCAAATTTTGTCGAGTAAGAAGCCTGTCTCTCTTTTGTAAAAAAACTACTTATTTATTTAAAAATGATGTGCAGTTCGTATGCTTTAAATGTATTATTGACAAACCTTGTAAATCAACAATGCTATTGAGTGCCACCAGATGGCGCGCGCGTTGCTTAAATCCGATGCTTCTGTAGCGTATAATAGAAGCTGACATTGGAAATAAAGTTATAACTGAATGGCTTGTGCGGGTTAGGGGTAGGAACGGACCGACGGCTTAAAGTCCCCTCCGAAGGACTATACACAATGGACAAACACAAATAAACAACCATACCCAAGTGGGATAGAAAATATTGTTTTATAATTCAATGCTGACAATTTATTTATTTATTTTTGTCATTCTTTTTAAATCTTAACTATTCAAAATTTACAATTTTGTCAATGAAAAGGAAAAATCAAATATTTGCAATTAAAATAAAGCCTTGTAGAGTTACGTATAAGTGGCATTGTTTAAAAAGATCATGGATTTAAAAAAAAGCTCAAAATTTTATATTCAGTCTTTCCTTGTCATTGACAAGTTGTCAAAATTTATTAATGTTGTGAATGTTGTTGTTTTTAAATAGTAAATTTTCACAGTCTATAAACTGTATAAATTTACTATAAGAAAGGATTTAAATACCTCACTAAGACAAATTCATAAACATATTAGTATCATTATAATTATAATTATTATTTTGCCATTGTTCTGGCAAAATAATAATAATCAGTTTTAAAATATAATGTTAAAAATAATTTCATAAAAAAGGTTCTCCAATCCACTGTGCGAACAAAAAAAGCTAAAGTTTAAAAATAAAACAATGCCCATATCTTAAAATAAATTTGATATCGATAAAAACAACATTTTTAACTAACAAAGATAAGTCTATTGTGTTTGCTGAAATATGGTTTCAGCATAAGACCGTGGTCCGGTCCTGAAAGTTTCAGACGCATTTTGTGAACTGCGTAACGTATCCTAGAGCATACCCGCGCTATCCTCCTACACTGAACGACTTAAAGCGATCCCAAAGACGTTTACTAAAATTTATTCTGACTTGTTGCTATCCGAAACTTTTCACAAACTTTTTTAAATAATTGTAAAGCGAGTTGTGTGTAACGACAAGCCCTTTGTTTGTGTGGCTGAGTGCGCTTTTAAACTTGCCGTGCCTTGTAAATATTTGTATTTTATGAATATCGTAAATTAGGTGTCACTGTTCATTAATTGTTTCGCTGGTAAGGATTTTTAACCCATTACTGGCTTGAGCGCTCATGTGCGTGTTACAATTTTAGCGACATGTAAAAGTAGTAAAAAATTGTAGTACCTAGGTCCATAGTGTTTGTAGATATTTGTAGTGATACCATGGATAATCAAGAGGCAAACAATACGAAATCGTAAGTATAATTACCAAGAAATTAATAAACATTAGGATTTATATTGTTTACCATGTTCATCTCATTTTTATTGTTGTTTAAATAAAAGTAAAATCATCGTATTAGATCACTATCATAACAAATTCAAAATCATAACATTTAAACGATATTTCAAACAATATTTCGTGTAAAAACCTTTTACACCTAAACATAAAGTATCATAAATAAACTCAAATATATTTAAAAATACCTAATGACATAAAAATAATAAATATCCTATGCCAAAGGGCAAGCTGATATAAATGTTATATAAATACGGGCTTTTTATACAGAGCTTTTTTGAATTTGGGGATCACTATAGGATCATAAAAACAACATTCTTAAAAGTTTTTTTAGGGGATGACCACCCCAACATTTTAAATAGCAACCTCTGTCGAGTATCACCTTATTTTAAAGGCAATGAAAAAAAACACATCCTCATAAACCAAAACCCGATATCTTAATTGTTTCAAGAATTATGAGGGATTGACTACCACTTGAAGAAACCACCAATATCACTAGGGATATGCTCCTGAAGGTTCAAAATTGCATTTACGAGCGTTTGGGTCATTGCGAGATAGAAAATCGTTTTTTAGAATTTAAAGCCAATTTTATTTGTCAAACGATACGGGTCAATCTATATCAAATCAACGGCTGCTAACAAAATTTATTTATTTTTTATTATTTTACCTATATTTGTACTAGGTATACCTAGTATATATACTCAAAGAGTTGAAAACTGGTATTCTTTAATTTTTTGTATTGGTGCGTCGCGACACGTTGTCCTATTTTGCATTTTAGAGAGGTTTGCGTTAAACTGCTCTCTAAAAATGAATTAGTCAAAAATGACTATATAATTACCACAGTTATAAGTGGCACTTATGGTTAACCATGGGATACAATGGTATCCCCCACATTTACATCAAATTATTATGAAAAATTGTCCCCTGAATCCGAAAATACCGTCAAAAATGAAGAAAGTAGAGGAGTTTTTGAGATATAGTCAATTTCATATTATATAGAAAAATTACTATATCTCAAAAACTGTTATACTTTTTTAACTTTTGACGACATTTTTGGATTAAGGAGACAATTTTACATGGAAATTGACTGCTAAATGTTCAGGATACAAATTGCTATTGACGAGAATTATTAGTGGCTGCTTTTTTGATATGACAATTAGTCATTTTTGACTAATTTATTTTTAGAGAGTAGTTTTTAAAGATATTTAGTTCAAACAACACGTTAAAGAGCATAAAATGTGCAATGTATTTTTTGTGTAGTATATATGTCTACTTAATTATTAATAAACAAAAATTTTTTTTTAAATAAATATTTTTTTTACAATTAAAAATGTTTGATAAAACTAAATATTTTTTCTGGATTTCGTCTAGCATAGCATAATTTCCTAAAAACTTTTAGGCCTTTGAGTTGGATTCCTTTTTTAATGGGTTTTCAAATATTGCGATTTCTCTAAAATCGGGAATTTTCAATCTAAGATATATCACAAGGGAAAAAATTTAAAAATCCAAAATCTTCAGAAAACATTTTATATTATAATAAGTCTCAGTGATGAAAACAAAAACAAAAAAATAATTATATGTTTTTTGAAAATTTTGGACTTTCGAGATGTTTTAGATTGAAAATACCCGATTTTGAAGGTCTAAATAAAAAACAAATAATTTATTAGTGATAAAATTGTAAGAAGCACTTTATACAACCCAATAAAATACTGTTTTTTGAATATTTTTGGTTTTTAAAGTGTGTTCCTTTTGATATAGGTATTTTATATTGAAAATATCCGATTTTAAATAAATTGCAATATTACACTGAAAAAAATAAGCTGTTGAAACAACAAAAAATATTAATTCAACTCTTTATGCACTTTAAATACGTTTACTTAACCATCTAAAAATGTCAAATTGTATTGTTTAATTGAACAACAAATATTAGTCAAATCAACAAAATGAGAATATTTGTTCTAATCTGCTAATCTGGTTAATTAAACATTCTTGATATGTCGGAGTAATATTATAAAATGGTTGTGCTAACATTTTTAAGATGTTAGGGTAAATTTCTTTAAATGTCCAGGTAACCTTTTTATCATATTCACTTAACACCAATAAATGTTAAATTAAAATAATTTGCGCTAATGTTGGGTTAATTAAATTATGAAATTAATATAAAAAGAAATAATTGAACCTTCCCTCGCCAAAATTTTTGTTTTGAGTGCGTTCCAACTACTTCAAATACCTACCGACAGACAGCTGATTCGACCTATATTGGGGGTCTTATCACTCTCTAAAAATGAAATAGTCAAAATTCTACTATTTGAATTAGTACCAGCATTTTTTACTAATAAAATAGTCGTTTTCACTTTTAAATAGTTATTTTTTACTACGTAAATAGTTAAAGTTTGACTAATTTAAGATTAGTCACCATATTTGACTATTTCTGACAGTTAAAAGTAACTAATTTCTTTAATCGTTTACGGCCAACAACAAAGTATTATTTGAATTAAATGCATATACCTCTCCATGGTTAAATGACCCATAAAACAAATAAAGATGCAAAAAGTTTAGCTCAAAACAGTAACACAAATAATATATTAAACTTTAAAATATTATGAACAATATTTATTGACAAATAAAATTTATTTTTATAAGAGCGGCTGACAGCCGACTGGTTATGAGGTTAGTGACAGACGTGAGTTCAATCCCAGGCTGGGTCAAAACCTTTTTTTTAAATTTAAATTTACTAATTTAACTATTTCATTCAGTGGAATTTGACTAATTATTAGTGACTGCTTTTTCGCTATGACAATTAGTCAAATATGACTTATAATTAGTTATTTTTGACTAAAGCTTAATTTTCATGTATCCGTTTGTCCGTCATCCGTATGTCAGTTTTTCAATAAAAACGTCCGATAAGAAATGTTCAATTTTCATGCATACGTTTTTTAATGACGTTTAACGGATTGATTTTGCGACAAATAGAAATTAAGTGTCAGTATATTCACTTACTAAATTTACCTAATGCTTAATTGTCATAGTTACAATTATGTCAACAATTGTAACTTTAACAGTTAGCTGTCTAATAAATTTAAAGGTAGGTAAATATACCTTATAAAAAGAATATACTAGCCCTAATATACATTAAAATGTATAGTTTAAAAAAAGCAGGTCCTTTTAGTTCTATAGTTTTAATTTTTTTTGTTTGTCCTTTCTTTTTTCCGATATTCCTATTAAATAAAAACTTAACAGTAAAACATTATTCACATAACGAACGTAATATTTTCGTTTTACAATCTTATTGAAAAAATATAAAAATATTTGAAAATAAATTATCTTAAAATAACGTTAGGTGTCAAAAACAGATGTTTAGTGACGGATGAGTTAAAATTATTTAACCTTTCTTTGTCAGACGTACGAAGTTGAAACTTGACGGACCGATAAAATGTCATAATTTTCGAATTATACACGGAAAAAAAATGTTGTGGAAAGTACTACAATTGTAGAATTTTCTGGTATAAATTGTTTAAAAAATACGACCAAGAACAATTTGTTGGAAATAATTTAACAATTTTGTAATAGAAATAAACAACAATTTATTGAAGATATAATTATATATTGTAGTTAAATTACTACAATTTCTGTTTTAAATTAAAATTGTTTTATATTTTAATAAAAATTGTATTGACTAATGCCATTCTTTATTAAAAATAATACAGATTTGCCGTGCTCCAAAATTGTGTACTTTAAATAAATTATACGTTGATATAAATGCTTTAAGTTTTAGTTAATTTCAAAACAATTGTATTAAATAATTAAACATTTTTTTTACAATATAGTTGTTGTAAAATTTAATTTAGTTTTTTTTTCCGTGTAATTGGACCAATAAGAGCGCTCCCGGATGAACGGACTGACGGACAAACGGATACATGAAAATTAAGCTTAATTCATTTTAAGAGAGTAGGCAAACGTTAACTCAACTACATTATTTTTTTCGGTGTAGAAGACCCATTAAAAAAAGATGGAACACTAAGGCCTAGAACTTTTCAGTTAAGTAGTATACAATAAAGACTATATTCAGATAAAAAATTAAAACGAGCCTTAGTTTTAAAATTTTATCTTTTTTATTTTTAATTGTAAAAGAAAAAGGTTTAATTTTGAAAACGTTAATATGTACTTATTTTTGGTTTATTAATAATTAAGTAGGTTTATGCAAGGTGGCGCAATAGTCATCACCCAACTTACTAGAGCTATTACTTTGTTCTAAATGAAAAAAATCGGTCGTGTTTGTAAATAATGTTTATTTGGACATTTAACTTTATTTCTGTTCGAAAAAATAATATAGGCCAAGTGGCCAGGGTTGATGCACATTTGAAAACCAATAGCTTAAGCTACGGGTTTAACTCTAAGTGCAAAATTGGCTGACGCAACAATAGAAAAAGACAGCTCACAAAAAACTGAACATCAAAAAAATTAATAAATACCCGCTTTCAAGTCTGTGAGTATTGTACAAACATTGATAAAAAATAAATTTGGTCAGCAACCTTTTGATTTTATATAAATTGACCCATACATAAAACGGACAATTATTAAAAGTAAAAATTCATGTTGGAACTGTCTGACATAAGTTAAATTTTATGATTGGTCCAAATCACGGTGCATAATGAAATTGACGAATCACTGACGCCAACAACAAATGACTAGCCTACAATGATTTATTATGCCTATATCAACTGTAGTGTCGAGTGTTGATGACAATAAAGTTTTGAAGATAAAAATGTTTATTTACCTTGAAATTACTTGAAAATTTATTAACTGTTTTTAAACAAATATAATTATGCTGCTATTTTATAAAAAAGTTAATTTATCAGAATCGTACCTACTCTTCAAAGTAGATCCAAGTAAAAAATATCGATGTTAACAATTTTTTTGAAATGTGTGTTTAACTTGCAAAAATGGATTTACCTTAAA